CCTTTATTTTGAGGATGGCTTCAAACAGATCGTATCCAGCTGCCCTCACGGGCGTCCACGCCTCAGGTACACCTAAATCGTGTTTTCTCTCCTTCGTTTGAGTGGGAGGACATCAAGAAACCTGGTAGGAAAAATTGGAAGTCTGTCATCTTTTTTACAGAAGCTGAAGGTATTCAACTTGTTTCCTCCTGTCGTCTGAATTTGGTTGGGAAATTTCTATATGGTCATCCCAAAATGAGGCTTATTCGCAAGGAATTTGAATTTATACACCTTGTTAAGTACAAAACCGAGAAACAGGTCTCACACACACACCCTAAAATCCAAAAAAAGAAAAAGAAAAAAAGGTCTTCTTTCCAAACAAAGAAAAATACAACTCAACACACCCCCAAATACCCCAACAAACTAAAACACCTACAAATCCAAAAGAACCAATCTATGAAGATCATTAGGTAAGATTTTATAAATGAAAGGTGCTCGCAGAAAACATCATTGCCTTCTCTATATATTTCTTCAGCTCTATGAAAGTCACTCAAGACGGATATTCCTACTTTTAATATTTCCCGTCCATCTGAAACTAGAGTACTGGTTGAAAGAGACATTACTTCTTCCGTTTCTGAGGAAATATGGTTGGACACACAACATTATCGATATTGGCAGAAGGTAGAGATTGAGTTTTTCTTTCGAATTGTTTGAACTGTCGTATGTTCGACCACTCAAGTTCTCAATGTCATCATCTACATCCCCACCTCAGACCAAAAAAAACAAAAAGTGTTCCGCTAGAGGCAGTGATTCAAATTCCCCCAAATCAGCTCCAAATTATTGACACTATCGATCATCACAAGAATACACTTGAAGACGTCACTATTCCCGCAGGCAATATATTAATCATTCAGTCTCCACGCATTGTTGTAGCTCCCCCATCTTCGGAACTTCCTATCGTGGAGGCGAGAGAGATTCTTTAGACTTTGTATGTCCTAGTACCTATCACTGATATTACAATTGAAAATACTTTTGCTGCTTCACTACCGCCTCATTAGGACCAGAAAGATGTCAATGCTACTCAGACTCAGGGGGATCAAGATGTGCAACGTCCTACACCTGTCCGGCCACCTTTGGATCAATCCATTGATCAATTAAGTCAATCCTCGAATGAGGAATAGCAGGTCTACACATCCAGGAGAAAGAAGAAGAATGGAGACATACTTGGGCTCAGAAATCTGATGGATGATACTTTGGTTACTTCGGGTAATAGTACGCACCTTACCAATTTGTTAGTTGGCTCATTTTCGAGAACTAGAGACAGAGGAAGAACTAAAGAGACATCCCTAGCACCTTTGCGCCTATTGGTGGATTTTTGATTTTTTTATCTTTATGTATCTTTGCTTCTTTTGATTTTTGTGTGTTGTATTGTGTAAATTGGGTCTTATCATCTCATACAACCTATCTGTACCTTTTCCTTTTTAATATATTAGTCATTGGGTTATATATATATATATATATATTAGTGATATAATTTTTCATGTTTTCGAGTATATGCATATAAGTATATTATGAAATAAAATGTATCAAGTATGTTTATGATAATTTAGTTAAACTAATTTATCGCCCACTAGATCATGATATTGCAAGTTAAGACAAATATTAGTGAGAATTTAGTCTAATTGAATCATCTGCTTTTGTCGCACCGCATTTGACCCTTAAGGGGGGAGGGGTCAATTGGGGTATGACAAAAAGTGATATCAGACCCTGGTTATTGAATGTATAAATGATGAAACTGTATTGGATTTAGAATAAGTAAGAATAACATCAAATATCAATTGATTTATACATAGTTATAGATTGATGAATCAAAGGTGAGGAACCCATACGACTTAAGGTAACATGCATGCATAACATAATTATTATATGATAAATTACATTTGAATAAGAAATTATGTCAATACAGAAGAATATGCAAGAAAGAGAACCAGAAAGTACTAAGATCCAACCTCGTAGGCAATTGCAGAGCTAGAAGTACGTGCTGAAAATGTTTTGAACAAAAATGTCATGTAGAACAGAACAAATGAAGAAGTAGAGTCACTGAGTTACGAGTCATTGTTTAGTTGATATTGCAAGTGGTTAACAAAATGACAGCTATTGAAATATCTCCTACCATTACGGGGCCCAGTTTTGAACTTGGGAAAGAAGTTGATCAAAATTGATAGATCTTTCAGACATTTAAGCTACGTGCCTTCAAGGGTGTAAATAACCCTTCAGTTGCTGAAGATTGCTATTCAAGATCGAAAAGATTCTGGTTCGTATGAATTATCCAGAAAATAGGAGATGTGATAGCCACTTTCATGCTAGAAAGTGAGGCAGAAAGGTGGTGGCAAGCTCAACATACGGAGAAATTTCAGCTAACGCCACTTTCACATACTTAGTGGGATGATTTTGTAAGTCTTCAAGGAATTATTTCTCCTTCAACCAGATTAGCATTGCAAAATAAATTCTTCAATCTAACTCAAGAGTCCAAAACAGTTATGCAATATGAAGTAAAATTTAATTCTCTTTCCAAATAGAGACGTGGGAGCGACATAGAAGGGATTTTTTCAGTCATTACTATATTTAAGTGAAATTCTCTCCTATTGGGAGTGGGGCCTACCCTTATTATCCTTAGTATGTAAATATGTTGTTTTTGCATTTTTAGAGGGTATTTTTTTTGCTAATATTTCTGTCCAGATAGCCGTCGGCATCTGTTTCTCCTTTCCAAGGTTGTATGTGCAAGTTTGGGTGGTGCTCTGGCTATATCCCAGGTTTGGGTGGTGCTCTGATTGTATTCCTCCCCCGAGATGGTGTTTATCTTCCATATTCCTCTTTTGCATCCTTCCCACACCGCTCATCGCCATCGTTTCCTGCTACAACTACCAGAAGTTGTCATAGCTGCTCCAGCCGACATAAATCCCCTTATCTTCCCACCAGATGTTGTTCTAGTCATCCTGAACCACGCCCCGACCACCTAACTACTATCCCAACCCTCCTACACTGCCTTTCTGCCATATATTCATTGTTCCAATTCAAGTGAACCCAGATTCCACCTTGTTGTTGCACTGGACAGCAAGGACCCGTTGCTTAGTTGCCATATCTGGCCAATTACTTTGCACTCCCACCTTATTCCCACCTTCCAAACCCCCGCCGATTACCACCCCCACCACAATATTCAACCCTATTTTGCTTATTTATGTCATATATGTTGTTATTTCAGATTTTTGAGTGTCGTTTTATTATATATTTTTTTCCTTTCAAATGTGTTAATTGTAATTGTTTGTGTTTCAAGTAATAGTAATTGCTTTTCAATTAGATTAGGGTTAACTCCGACAACATTTAGTATCAGAGCTAGCCTGACTCTACTCTTATTAAAGGGTTTCTAGCATACATTAATAACTAACCCTCTCTCTACAAAAAAAGTTTATTTCTCGCTCTACTCACCCTTAAACACATCATTCCACCTACACACAGCCAAAACAATTTAAAAAAAAAAAACTAGTCATTCTGCCAAGGAGATAATCGCCGGAAGACTGATCGAGCGGAAAAGACACAATGTCGTATATGAGAAATTCACAAAGAGATGTTCAGGCAAATTCTAGGAAAAATATGCAGGGGAAGTCTGCCAACTACAACAGAGGCTCGTCGCCTTCGAGAAGAGATAATCCATATGAGTCACCCGTAGCCACAACAGTAACTTGCTAGATAAAATGAATGGAGCCATGCAGATTTTAGAGATAAAGGGCCTCTACCTCGAAGATATGACCTGAAATATTTGAGAAGCCAGATTTTTGAAGTAAAGGAGGATTTATCATATTTTGATGTCACATGATTCAGGAAGATTTCGTCAAGTGGCTCCGGACCTTGAAATGTGTTTTTGAGTGATGGGGCATCCCACTGGACGGAATGATGAAATAAGCTTCCAAAAAAATTTAACTTATATTAAAGAGTCTAAATTCATTTTAGAAACTGATTTTAAAAAATTAAGAAACAAACAAATTCCTTTTATTAAGATAGAGTGGAAATGCATGCTTGATAAAGAAGCATGGGAAAATAAAGAGATGCAAAAAAAAATATTCTTTTTTTCAAGTAAACTCAAAAATTTCGAGGACTAATTTTATGAGGGAAAAGTTTAAACTCAAAAATTTCGAGGACTAATTTTATGAGGGGAATAGAATTTTGACAAACTTAAGTTATAGCCCAAATTTTGCATGCAGAGATCGATATTCAGGTATTGTACTTATATCTAGAGAAATCCGGTTACATGGCAAATTAAGAAACAGAATGCGGTGGCAAGGATTAGTGTTGAGGCAAAATATCAACCTACGCCTAATGGCTAATTGAGTAATGTGAGATGTTATAGTTGACAAGAATTTTTGAAGAACTACTGACCCCAATAAACATACCAATGAAGTTGTATTGTGACCAACAAAGTTTTCATAAGCATTACAGAAAATTCGGTGCAACAACGACGCACAAAACAAGTAAAGTTTGATAGACACTTAAAAAAAGAGAAGATTTAATGTGGAGTTGTTTGCATGCCTTTCACTCTAATAGTGCAACAAATTGCAAACATCTTCATTAAAGGACTTTTCAAGCCCAATTTTGAGTTCTTGTAAGCAAGTTGGGTGTGATATATATGCTCCAACTTGAGAGGGGGTGTTGGAATTTTAGGAAGTTTTTGTTTTCTTATATTATATTATTAGGTTTTTTTTCTATTTCTAAAATCTCGTCTAATTTTATATGTTTATAATGTGAGAGTCGTTCCCCTCTATTTATGTTGTAACGGTTTTTATAAAATTTAAGATGGATAATTATTTTTCTCCTCACAAAAATTACAAATATATCTGTGTGTGTATTCGTTTCTGGAGATCATGCTTAATGTAAAAGAAATTCTCATGCTAAGACAGAGATATCATATGTTTGAGTGTTTAAAAGAAAAGGTACCTATGGAGCATCGCAGTGTGTTCATCATCACCAACATATAACACATACTGCCTTCCAAAAGCATTGCCCAATGAAATGATCCATTCAGTGTTTTGCACAACATCTAAAGATTCCGATATGAACTGCAATGGCAAAATGGTCAGCATTTATACTCTGAAAATAACAATAATAAATTAAACAAAAGGTTGTGATAAAAAATATTTATAGAAGTTATACAAGGATAAAACAGTAAGGCCAGCTACCAAGTAAAATTGAGTTTGAAGGCCTCAAAACATTTAGTGAAACTAACTTTCCTGGTAAAAGAACAAAACAGATTGCTGCTTTGCGATAATCATGAAATTGCCTTAAGAATATTCATTAAGAAATAGCCTTAAGTATATTCATTAATAATACTTACATTGATAATCATATCATCCCATGTCTCCTGGTATGAAAGATCCTGCTTTAGGTCTTCCGGGTCACTGATATAGGCCTTCAATTTGGGTACCTGTTCTCACAAAAGGAACTATAAGATAAGCAGAACTACACTTCTACCGTTAAAAAAGTGCTAAATTTTTTTAGAAGAATTACAAGAATCTAGTAAAACGATCCATTAAAGTAAATTGAGATTATTTTAGATAAATTTTAAAGCAAGTGGGAAGTGCCGCAACGCCCGTTCTAGGCTTCTGAAACAAAGCTTTCGACAATCCAATGTTCAGGAGTGGCTCCCAGCACCCTTGTACATTTGTTTTCCAGTTTTGAAAAAAGATAATTCGACAATCCAGTGCCAAAGGTTGGCGCACAAGCGCCTATAACTAAGTTTCTGCGGATTTGAGATTTTGGTTTCACAGCGGCAAGATAAATGATCGCTGTGCAAGATGAACAAGCGAGTTGGATTCCTATTTATTCTTGTCCGGCAAGATAAATGATCGCTGTGCAAGATGAACAAGTGAGCGAGTGTGTGGTGTTGGATTCCTATTTATTCTTGTGTGATAGAGAAGGGAGAATTCTAGAAGTTTTCCAAAAATTACAAAGGCTTGAGTGTGGTGTAATTTGTATTATTCTATTCATTTATTCATAGTGGATTTCTTAGTCTGGCATGGCTCCGTTGTTTTTTCCGTTCTTAGGTTTTTCCACAAAAAACCATGTTGCACTTTGTGTTTTTTGAGATTTCTTGTTTTTTATGCTTCTATTCAAAGTATTTCTTTGGAAGAATTGGCTTCCGTGCTATCTATCTCACTACACAATAAGTGGCTGCAAAGCGAAATTTTCTAAAGATCTTTGGTTCGAGTGGAGCAATGGCTGACAAAGTAGAGTACAAGATTAAAAAGTTCAATGGTCAAATTTTGCTTTCTGAAAACTATAAATTGAAGATTTATGGTACAAAAGAAATTATATTTGTCACTGGATAGAATCACTAAGAGATGAAATCTATAACTCTGGAAGAACACGAAAATTTTCATCGAACAATATGAAAATCTAAAAAGATTTTTTCCTTTTCATATTTATCTCTCATGTGGAAAAGTCGCTACCTCCAAATCTTAGAAGATTTGATTGGGATATCTTCAAATTTTTTTATTAGTTTATGCCCATCATATTTTATGACTTTCCTATTTTTTATTTAGAATTATTTCCTTACCTAATTTAGGTGTTTGGTAAGTTTGCAAATAAGAAGGAATTTATTTCCCTATATATATATGTATCCTATTTACAAATAATGAATTAAGGAATTCTTTCCTCCCTAACTTATTTTCTAAACGATTTCAGAGATTTCAAAATAAACTTGAACTGCCGCCGAAAATTCTCTACAGGATGACAAATCTTCTACGCCGACTTGCAGCCTGTACTTCCCTGCAGGTCTTCCTCTGCAGGCCCTCCTCTCCCTGCAGCTAGTACTTCACCTGCTCTGCCTTCCTCTCCCAACAGCAGCAACCAGAACTCCAGCCCTTCCCTACAGCAGCAAGAACTCTTCCCTACCGGCAGTCCTTTACAACAACCAGGACTCTTCCCTCAGGCAGTCCTTTGAAGCTCCCGAAATTTTAGCAACTAGAAAGAGGACCATCTCACTGAAGAAAACACAATTCCTGAGATCATTGACCCCAACCAACATACATGAAAGAATGAAGACCATATGATTATGCCTTGATTAATCAACTCAATGACACCTGACGTGGGAGAAAACATTTTGCTCTACAAAACTATCAAAGAAATCTAGGAGGCTACAAGAGAAGTATATTCCAGCACTGAGAATACCGCAAAGTTGTTTGAGATTGAAACCAAGCTTCATGACCTACATCAAGGAGAGCTAACCGCCATCCGATACTTCAACGCAGACAAAATATTGACTACAATTAGATATGTTTGAGATATACGTGTAAAAATGTCCACAAGATACCATGACATTTGAAGCCGGAAGAGAACAATCAAAGTCCTAGTAGAACTAACGCAAAATTTGGATGAGGTAAGAGGAAGAATCATGAGAATAAAGCCTCATCCACTCCCAGCAAAGCCTTTGCATAAGTCAAAAGAGAAGAAAGTAGGAAGAAAATGATGTTGATAGGAAATGGGTGTTTACCAAGCACTAAAAGTTCAGCTTTGTACACCAATAATTCTTTCCATGACTCAAAGGTCAAGAAGAACCGTTCTAACGTGATTATTGCAAAGAAATTGGGCATATCAAAGACAAGTGTTAGAAACTCCATGGAAAGCCAACTTACTATAAACCTGGATAGGGAAAAAAGGATCAAAAGAGAGAGGCAAATGTTGTTACAACATTCAATAGATCAACAAAACCATTCACCAAGAAACAGCTTAAAATAATGAAGAAACTCTTTCGAAGTAATTCAGCGCAGCACACCAACCGCGTGACACACCAAGGTAATATAACCTTCTCCCATCTTGTCAGTAATGAAAGATTTGCAACTTGGATCATAGATTCACGAGTCCCTGATCATATGACAGTAGAGAACAATGCTCTCGACAACTATCAAGAGACTTCTACATCTTAATAAATAAGACTTGCAAAGGGATCACACTAAAAAATTGTTGGGAAAGGAGATGTGAAGCTCTCTCAAGATATTACTCTTTCCTTATCTTATATGTTCCACAATTATATTGCAATTTGATTTTAATCAATAAGTTTACTCTTGATATGAAATGTATAACTAAATTTCTTACAACTCTTATGAATTTCAGGTGATGGAATTGAGAAAAGTGATTGACAGTGTTGAAATGCATCAAGGTTTATGCCTGATCAAGGAAAAACTCTCCCTAAACGCATAACTAATCTCATTTTTGTATGTGATATTAGAACAAGTAGAAAAAATGGTGGAAACACACAAAAAAACTTTTATTACTGTAGAGAGAGTTACAACACAATACGACAGAAAATAACACAAAACATACACGACATAAGCTAAAACCTCTAAGGTGTATTCCAAGGGCGATTTATTACTGTAGAGAGAGTTACAACACAATACGACAAAAAATAACACAAAACATACACGACATAAGCTAACACCTCTAAGGTGTATTCCGATGGAGTTCGGCGAGGTGGATCTGGATCTGGCGACTCTGTAATTTTTCCCATTCTCAGGTTTTTCAACATTAAATATTGATGTTTTTATGTTTCCTATGATTTCCTTTTTTTTTGTATGCTTCTGTTCAAAGTTTTGCTTCGAATCGGTTTCCGCACTATCTCATTGCACAACAAAAATCTACCAACAAATGCATTGCAATGAAATTCTATACTTGTATTTTCAACTGGAGCAAATACTAGAATCAGACAAACCATTACGAAGGACAAAAATCAATCTCTTACTTTAGGAACAATAATGATTCATCAAACAATTGAAAAGAAAAAAAAGAACTTTTAGCAAAATCTTAAATCTAACGAAATTATTTCTAGCTAAACATAGGCATAACAAAAGATAAATTTTGAATCACTAAATCAGATGCCAAAAACTTCATTTAATCTGAACAGCATCTACTCTGAGAAAAGCTGGAAAAAAAAAATAGTTATTCACACAAACCAATTATATTTCCAAGTAAAACCTTCAAAAAGAAATGATGCCTTTAACTTGTAAAATGGCCACGAATTTTCAAATTTTACAATAAGTATAAACCAAACAAAAAATACTCCGTCAAATCTTTAAAAAATACCTTACAATTGCAATACCTCATCTTGCCAAAACAAACTGAGATTCTTGGGGAACAGTGGCCCTAAGCAACACAATACCTGAAAATGATTTCATCCAAAAAAAAAAGCTTATATTTAAAATCTAGTTTTAAAACTTAGCTGATCCAAACAAGGACAACAAACTAAAACCTTTGCATATCTTTGTTTTTTTCTTAATACCGTCTTACGTAAAAGGGTTTTCTAAGAAACCTGGTTCTTCTATGAAAAACAAGCATGCATGCCATGGTTTCACAAAAACCCTTCACCCTTTACACATATAACAGCACAAAGCTTGGAAGAGTCATAAGACTCAATTAGTCAATAGAAGGTTAATGATAATAATGATGTAATCACCAATACTTTAGAAATGGTCAACAAGATAGCAAGCAATCACCATAATTGACAGAAAAAATAGCAACTCAGTAAACATTTTCCACATGTAATTTTACTTGTAAGGGGATTTAAAAAAAAAAATGAAAGAATGGAAACAACAAAAATTCATTTAGCACAAGGTATAAAAATGTAAGTGGCTAATATAAATTAGCAGAGACCGTTAGAATCTGAGTTGCCAACTGCTCCCGAGCAAGCGGGTCACAAAGCAGGACAGCCAATCGTGCAAGGAGATCCTGGAATATCAGTTGATCATCACATTAATAAAGCTATCATTATACCTAAAAAGGAAGTAATTAAAATCGCTGCATTAATAAACTGGCTACCTCAGGGTGGGGAATTTGATTTGGTGAACTAAATCCATTAAACAACGTGCTTCCAAGTGATGACTGATGCTTGTGCAATTCACATATGCATTTGCAAACCTGTCAGATGTATATAGCATAAATAGTGAGCGGTAAAAAGCTCAGTTGTTTTTATTTATTTATAATCACTTTAAATCATTCAGAATCTGAGTTTGAGAATCTGGAAAAATATCATTAATAATAAGAAACAAAGTTTATAGTGATATTCCCCTGAACTTAAACCAATGAATCTCAATCATCATCAATTTTCTGATGCTTGCCATTCCATGAATGCATGGAAGATTTCAGCCAATGCAATTGCATGTGTAATCAAAATGTGACGTGATACATATTTGCTTATGCAAGTAGGATATTGCACTTAGATGTGCTGCATTATGTTTACGAGTCTGATTAGGAAAAATGAATGATAAAATTATAGACATAAAGAAAAGAAATGAAAAGAATTTAAGATCATGTGAATGTGAGCATGTACGCAAAAGTTTAAACATGCATGTGGATGGATGTTGCAATTTTCTAATTTTCCATGAAAAAAAGAATCTGGACAAAACAAGATAGAGATAGCATGAACTGAAAACTCTTGCTTTTAGTCTCATGAAAACAGGAGAGTGATGATTGCTTTTTTATTATTATTTTTATTCATCCCTCAACTGACACAAAATTGAAACCTCCTATCCAACTGAGGGTCTACACTCCGAGTAAAAGGGAAGGATAGCAGACAACGGATAAAGTGTCCCATAAGATGAATTCAAGATGTGCCTAACACAGTTAAAATTCCTCAAACTTTGCTCATTTCATGAAATAGAGTGCATCGATGCATCTGGAACATCAAAATTACTAAAAAAAAGCAATGTGATCGAACATAGTGAAAAAGATAGACAAGAGGCAACATCATACAAATTTGGTTTGAAACATCTCGATCCAAATCAAAATCATCCAATCTTTGCCCATTTTCCAAATGGATTACACCAACATGTCCAAAAAGTTGTAAATACCTAGAAAGAACACTCATATTTCAAACAGAGGTGCTTTCCCAGGCAGAAGTAGTCCCGAACGGTTCAACATTTAAGTCGGTTCAAAGTCTATTGCCACCCAAGAGACAGGTCGGCCCTCCTTAGGGATTGTGATGTAGATTAGAATTTTTTGTTCTCCTTAATATAAATAAGTGTTTGACTTGTTGAGGGCATTTGATTCTGTTTATGATTTTAAAGCTTTGTTTCATCGATTTCCTTTCATATGGAGAGTTGTTATCATGTCTCTTACAAGTGGTATTATTGTATCTTAATTGAGTATAGGTGGTGGTTCCCATTGGTGACCGTTGCTTCATCTTGCCTAATCTACCGGCCCACCCATTCTTTTAGCCTCCTAAGTATAGTTATCGACCTCAAACTTCACCATAGACCTTTATTTTAGATTTCAAATGATATAATTCTCATTACGCACATCTTAATGTCAACCAAGATCTTTAGATATTATCTAGAAAATCCTAGAACGATTTCAATATTGTTCGAGTTGCCGCATGAAAAAAGAACAACAATTGTGTTAAAAACAGAATGAGAATAATATCAGTGTTCAAGAGAAATGAAAATTTAAAATTTTAAAAAAAAAAGAGAGAAAAGTTTATCTATGTTAAAGGCAAACATAATTTTCAAATACAATGATAAAAAATTCAACATCAATAACGAACAAAAATTTGGCAAAAGAGAATTCAAACATAATACTACCCAAAATATATAAAGAAGAAATAATAAACAACTTAAAAAAAATACTTTTTTCCTTCTATCCCTTTATCTATTATTCCTCTCTAATTAAAATTTTTATCGAACCCGCTATATTAACACAACTCGCTATCTTCAACTTAGCAAATAAACATTGCATTAAATTTAATCTTATCTTTATACAATTTACAAAAGGTTTTCTTTCCTAACACCCAAGAACACCTAAGGCCATCCAAAAAGCAAGTCATAGGAGTTTAACCAACTAAAGAATGTGTTTGATTCAAACAGCATGCAAGCAAGCCGAACACAAATAGCTTGATTCATAAAAAAACTGAACACAAACAAATTTTTGTTCGGTCATGTTCTACTCATTTTGACTAGAATTAATTAAATAATTAAATAAATAATATTTTTATATTATTATTATGTTGTATTAAAAAAATGTTAATTTTTATTACTTGTGAATAATTTAAGCTAATTTCGAGTAGAACACAATGAAGAAAAATGATTCTTGTAGCCGACCCCACGTAGTAGGATTAAGGCTTTGTTGTTGATGATGTTGTTGTTCGAGTAGAACACAAGCTGAAATTCTAATTGAGTCAAACACGAACATGTTATTCACAAGTCATTTTGAACACAAGAATATTAAAAAAAAATCAAATGAGTCAAACACTAAGCACTAGCTTGCTTAAGCTCGGCTCGTTTACACACCTAACAACAGCCACCAACCAATTAAAAAGAAAAGAAATAAGATTTAAAAAAAAAGAAAATTGATGACATATGGCCATTACCTTTCAGTGAAATTCACGACTTCCCTCTCTCTAGTTCATGATTTACCCAGTTCCCATTCACCGCATTTGAGTTCCTTTCTTCTGATTTGCAGTTCTGAATAACTCTCTTCAGTTATTGATTTTGCCTGCCTTCGAGTTCACACCCCCCTTCCCCTTCCCAACTTCAAGTCGGCCTAACCGGAATCCCCCTGCCAAACAAACCCTAGCCCTCAACTCCGACACCCCTCCTCCATTTACAGTCACTAGAAGCCTCTTCACATGCATTATCCGACATGTTGAAGCTTAAGGTCAATGCCGATCTTGGCATCATTGCTTCCGTTGATGTCCAAAAGGACTAGTTTGACTCAATAAGTTTACAAAGTTTCTTTTCTTCTTATTCATGATTTATTCACCTATGATGTCAATGATTCTATTGAGGATTATTCCCAGTTAATTTTGACAAAAATAAGGCTTTAACTCCGCATTTAACAGAAATACTAGTGCAATTGGCACTATTTTATTTTTTCTTTTGTATTTTAAATCCGATGTCTCATCATGTGGTTGGTATCGTACAAGTAGGCTTTCTGCTTGGATGTGGATGTTTACTAATTAATTGTCTCATTCATGCCTTACTTCTCCTATGATTATCAAGATTGAGGGAATTATTTCCAAGGAGGGTGACAAATCTTCTCTTGATGTAGTTTCGCGTTGAGTGCTAGTACTAGTGCTAACTATCAAAATGAGCATGTTCAATGTGTCAAGGATTCTCTCAGACATTTGTAGTGCTAGTACTAGTGCTAGTAATAGTGATCGATTTATTATTCTAAGTCCACAAGCATATGTAGAAAATGTGGAGCATTTAGAAATTTTATTATTTTGACTGCTGACATTTATAGTATAGGAAAGTTTTATTTTCTTTAACATTAAACGAGTTAATCTAAATTTTAATTCCAAAGTACTAAACCCCATTCACATCAAACTTATTTCCACCTTTCATCGCAAAAAGCCCTCCCATCATCCCCACATCACCTATCCACTACAACTATCCCTAAACGAAACTATGGTAACTGATAAGGGGCCTCCCCCTGATGACAATAAATTTTCTCATTTTATAATAGAATTTATGCTACTACATGCTAAGAATTCAGCACCTATCCACTAAGCTTGATCAAAAGTTTCTTTGTCGTCATTTAGAGGGACATTTAACCGAAGAATATTGCGTATATAAGAAATCTAAAACTAGCCCTTAAAATTCTTACAAAATGAAAGTAAAATTTTTCTATAATATCTTATCTAAAATCCAATCTATCTTCTAAAAAATTGACCCGAACCATAAACTCTCATAAAGGTCAAGACTGAATTTTCGGTGCCCACACAAAAAAGCGAGACAAAAAAGAATAGAAGCCCACAAAAAGTGGGAGAGCAACAAAAGCTGGCAACACGACATCCCTTACATATAGAAGGGGCTGACAACAAAAGTGCTATCGGAGCGCAAGCACGTGAATAAACAGTTGCATATACCAAGAGGCAACAGTGTCAAAAATCAAGCAAGCAATCACAATGCACGCTGCTTAGGCAGCGTGTAAGAAAAAAAGTCAAGATGAGATGAAAAGTGCACAAACACGTGAGTGCGCACAACCATGCACAAAGTCACGAGTCCTGAAAGTGAGATGGTGGTAGAGCAGAGCAAGAGCAAGAGCGCGATGTAGAGGGTTTTTAAATCTTTTACCATGTACTCCAATTTTTACTAAACATATATAGGAAATTATAAATATAAAATGATATAAATTATTGAAGGGAATCTTACTGTCGCAACAGCTCCTGTATACTCCCTGGGAATAATCATCTTTAAGAGGAAAGGCCAAAGGAAATGCTGCAAAATAAAAAGAGAATAAAGCCAAATTAAAATTAGCAAGTCACTTGAATAAGTACTTATAATGATTATAAATTAATCTATTTTACTAGCCTATACTTGCAAAACAGGGAAGTGGTAAGGCATCAACGAAGTAAAATTTGTTGAAGCCCTACCTCCGATTCTGGAATGGTAATAGCCAGTAAAATAAGTCCTTTTTCACAGATAGCTTTCAACTTGGCTGGACTTACAGCTGATATATTCGCCTGATCAAAAATCAACTTATAATAGACATGTTGCAGTTCTCAAAATTTGGCTAGAAATGACATGCACAGACCTCAATTTTTCTATAGAAAGGCTGAAAGGGATTTCCCTTCCAAACGATCTCATTAGCGGGCTTCAAATATTTCTCATCATCTGATATAGCACAATGGCGAACGAGATATTCGATAAAAAACTCTGCAGAACTCCCGCCAAAGTAACAATGCAAAGCCATAACAAGAAGTAACTGGCAATAAAATAGCAAAAGCATCAATTCAGAATAAAAAAAAAAAAAAAAAGATAACCTTAGATATCCCGCTGCTTAATAAAACTATTGTTGCTTAGGTAGATGTCGAGTTCATGAAAAGCTAACCATTACCACAAGTTTCAATTTTAAGTGGTTGGCACACATAAACAATGTTATGGGCCAAAGCTGCTCTAGCCCAACATAAAAAAAGGGAA